GAAAACTTCCTATGTCTACAGAAACCTGTATTTTTTTAAAATTTGATATATGAAATTGAAATTGAACCAATAAAAACATGACAATATCGATATTCTTGCGTCATGACGTCATTTTCATTATTAACCTAGGTATTTTATTATTATTTTCATTATTAACCTAGAAAGAGAAATTCAATTTTTTCCTAGACCTCCAAATAGATTGAATAATGATTATTTCTCAGGTTAGTAGTAAAAAAAATATATTATTAGTTATTATTAACTATTTCTAACTAATGTGCATCCGACACCACTGGTCGTTCAGCAATCTTCGGGAAAATGGCCGCTAACTTTTGGCTGCCAACTTCACATCAGTATTGAAAAGAGCATTGAATTCTCTATAAATATATACAAAATTGAGTTTGATAGCTCAAACCCTTTTTGAGCAATTGAGCCTCAAAGTTGGATTTTAATCGAAATGTATTCAAAAACTTCAAACTCAATTTTCTCAAAAACTATAAACCTGAAAATATTTTTCGATACTTAGATACAAGTTTTTTAGAGCCTGTTATGAGATATGTCTGTCAACCTAGCATGACAACCCCAGCAGAATTCGAAAAAATTTGGTGGAGAATTTGTTGCTATTTTGTTGCTAATTATTTACCATATTTTTGATTTTTTTTCTCTTGCCGATTTCGAAAAAATGGGATTCTGCCAGCTTGATATCAAGCTAGCAGAAAAAAAATCAATTTCTCAACAGAATAAAAAAAGAATAGTGGGGAATTTGTTGCTATTTTGTTGCTAATTATTTACCATATTTTTAATTTTTTCAATCTTGCCTGTTTCGGAAAAAAGCGATTATAGCGAGCTACCAGAAAAATGTTATGTACAAGTTTATAATACATGAAAATCTATGACTATACTTATTTTCAGATAATGGGTGGTATGAATAAAAACGAAGTACATGCTACTACTACAAGTATTAGTATATTCTTCGAAGTATTTACTTCACAAAGAAGCATTTACTTATTTCCGGTATTGTCGAAATGTAGTATCTACTTCGTTTTGGAGTGAATACTACGTAGAACATGCTCATACTTGTAGTACTAGCAAGTACTTCGTTTTTATTCATACCACCCAATAATTAGAGGAACCAACTTTTGAAAAATCAAATTTTTGATCTATTTAGGTATTGTTCATCAAACAGAGCAATGCAAAAAATTCATTCTGCTGGCGGTAAATAAATATTTACCAGTCAAGAAGTGTCCATAATGGTCTAAATTGATCTATATTATGATATAGACTCATTCTGCTAGCGGTAAATAAATATTTACCAGTCAAGAAGTCTCCATAATGGTCTAAATCGCTCTATATTTTGATCTAAATTCATTCTGCTGGCGGTAAATAAATATTTACTAGGCAAGAAATATCCGTAATGGTCTAAATTCGTCCATATTTTGATTAGAATCATTCTGCTGGCGGTAAATTAATATTTAGCAGTCAACAAGTCTCCATATTGGTCTTAATCGTTATATTTTATAATATAAACTCATTCTGCTAGCGATAAATAAATATTTACAAGTCAAAACATCTCCATATTGATCTAATATGCTATATATATTATAATAAAGATTCATTCTGCTAGCGGTAAATAAATATTTACCAATCAAGAAGTCCACATTATTGTCAACGTCATCTTACAGGGGCACATAAAGAATCGCACTACTTAGGTAAAATAAATCAATATGCTAATTTCTTCAATTTGCGTTTCCTACCAATAAAGAACTTCTGGGATTTCTATCTGACTACCCCATGGTACAAATGGATTATTAATTACCTACATATCCAAGAAGATTTTTATTATATCTTTCTTGTCTTTTTAGTCTCTTGTTGATCAGCAAACTTTTGTGTTAAGTAGACATAAAAAAAGTTTGTTGAACGAGCCTAACGTCTCTGGCAAATTTACCCCGCTGGTAAAGCTAAAAATTGAATGCAATTTTTAGCTTTACCAGCAGGATAAAGGTGCCAATAACGTTGCAGGCAGTCCATAATTTGGCCCTTAGACCATTATGGAGACTTTTTGTTTGGTTAATATTCATTTACCGCTAGCAGAATGAGTCTATGTCATAATATAGACCAATTAGGACCATTATGGAGACTTCTTGACTGGTAAATATTTATTTACCGCTAGCAGAATGAGTATATATCATAATATAGACCAATTTAGACCATTATGGAAACTTCTTGACTGGTAAATATTTATTTACCGACAGCAGAATGAATTTAGATCAAAATATAGATCGATTTGGACCATTATGGACACTTCTTGCCTAGTAAATATTTATTTACCGCCAGCAGAATGAATTTAGATCAAAATATAGAGCGATTTAGACCATTATGGAGACTTCTTGCCTGGTAAATATTTATTTACCGCCAGCAGAATAAATTTAGATCAAAATATAGATCGATTTAGACCATTATGGACACTTCTTGCTTGGTAAATATTTATTTATCGCTAGCAGAATGAGTCTATATTATAATATAGAATCAATTTAGACCATTATGGAAAGTTCTTGACTGGTAAATATTTATTTACCGCCAGCAGAATGAATTTAGATCAAAATATAGAGCGATTTAGACCATTATGGAGACTTCTTGACTGGTAAATATTTATTTACTGCTAGCAGAATGAGTCTATATTATAATATAGAATCAATTTAGACCATTATGGAAACTTCTTGACTGGTAAATATTTATTTACCGCCAGCAGAATGAATTTAGATCAAAATATAGATAGATTTAGACCATTATGGGCACTTCTTGCTTGGTAAATATTTATTTACCGCCAGCAGAATGAATTTAGATTAAAATATAAAGAGATTTAGACCATTATGGAGACTTCTTGACTGGTAAATATTTATTTACCGCTAGCATAACGAGTCTATATCATAATACAGACGAATTTAGACCATTATGGAAAGTTCTTGACTGGTAAATATTTATTTACCGCCAGCAGAATGAATGTAGATCAAAATATAAACCGATTTAGATCATTTTGGAGACTTCTTGACTGGTAAATATTTATTTACCGCCAGCATAATGAATTTAGATCAAAATATAGATAGATTTAGACCATTATGGGCACTTCTTGCCTGGTAAATATTTATTTACCGCCAGCAGAATGAAATTAAATCAAAATATAGAGCGATTTAGACCATTATGGAGACTTCTTGACTGGTAAATATTTATTTACTGCTAGCAGAATGAGTCTATATTATAATATAGAATCAATTTAGACCATTATGGAAACTTCTTGACTGGTAAATATTTATTTACCGCCAGCAGAATGAATTTAGATCAAAATATAGATAGATTTAGACCATTATGGGCACTTCTTGCCTAGTAAATATTTATTTACTGCCAGCAGAATATTATTTTATAATTATTTACTACAACTCAGACTGCAAAGATAAACTTCGAGTCTTTTTGAGTGGTAAATATTTGTTCACCGTCAGCAGAATCATTTTGTTTTGTATTGTACAGCTGTTCAGACCAATATGGATCAATATATTATTATAGGTTATTGCATCGACGGGCGGTATATTGAAAATCCTCTGTAATTTTCAATTGGATTAATTCAGGTTGATTAAAGGGCACTAAAATCGGCAACCGCAACCAAAAGGATGAATAAACCGTCCTTAAACAGTTAAAAATATAATCATCGGCTCACAATTTTTGTATATTGTAATTACCGTTTTTTATTCGTGCATTGTTCTGTTTGATGAACAATACTTAAATAGATGAAAAATTTGATTTTTCGAAAGTTGGTTCCTCTAATTATTATTTGATAATAAGTATAGTCATATATATTTTCATGTAGATTTTCATGTATTATAAACTTGTTTAAAAATAGAAATAATACATAACATTTTTCTGGTAGCTCGGTATATTCGCTTTTTTCCGAAACAGGCAAGATTGAAAAAATTTAAAATATGGTAAATAATTAGCAACAAAATAGCAATAAATTCCCCACTATTCTTTTTTTAATCTGCTGAGAAATTGATTTTTTTTTCTGCTAGCAGCTTGATATCAAGCTGGCAGAATCCCATTTTTTCGAAATCGGCAAGAGAAAAAAAATCAAAAATATGGTAAATAATTAGCAACAAAATAGCAACAAATTCTCCATCAAATTTTTTAGAATTCTGCTGGGGTTGTCATGCTAGGTTGACAGACATTTATGAGATACAATTCCTGGAAATTTTGATTCAATATTTTCCACGGATTTCAAGATATTTTAAAAAACTCGAACTTTTAATTTTTTATATATTTTTCGAATTTTGACTTTTCCAATCGATAGAACGCGAGGAAAAAAAAAAATTAACATCATTTCCATATGATCAATTTGAATTTAAAAAAAAATCAATGAGAAAATTCAATTTTTTGGTTCTAAATTGTTATTGAATCGCGTGACAAAGGTTAAAAAAAATTGCTAATATTTTTTTCAAAATTCGAGCAGATCAAAATAAATTATACATTATTAAAAAGAAAATTTAATTCTCTATAAAATCCGTGCAAAATTAGCTTTGATAGCTTTCGAGCCATTGAGCTACAAAGTTTATCTTTGGGAACTACCATCGTCACCAAAAGTAGCTGGGACAAAAATAATTCATATTAATCTCCTGGACTATTCCAAGTTAACTTAGATAAACCTAAAATATTTCATAGTTTGACAAATACCTGACATCTAAAATCATATAATAATACCAAAGCTGATACAGCTGTCCCATTTACTTTACACACCCTGTATATTTTCAGATGTATTATTTTGTTAATTGCATAATAAGACTTTGTATAGATTAAAATAGATTGAAAAAGTCCTAATTTCAGCATCAGAAATCAATTTCTTTTGATCAAAACAAAATTATATCGATGAATCACTATTTTATTGCTCAATAGATTGCAAAATACTTTCATATATATATGGTCAAAAAATGCAATTAAGATAATGTAATTAAAACAAGACTCGGTATTGAAAGTGTTGAAATTTGTAGATATCTTAAAAATAGCAAAGAAAAACACTGATTTATTAATGTGATGCAATAGGTACTTAATAATCAATAGAAAATATTTGTTCATAAAATTAAAACAATTAAAAATATTTCACCCTGTATATGTATATGTATAAGTAACAAGCTCTTAATTAAGTATCAAATTCAATTGAAAAGTAAACTAGGATTATGTTTATAGGTCAGCAAGGATATTCAATTTCAAATTTTTCATTATAAAAACAAAATAAGTTCAGGTTTAATTTATTATTAACTGTTTATTGTGCCTACATAAAGATGAAGGTGAGTTATGAAGAAAAAATATTATTTTCCATTATTTAATTGATTTATAAAATTCCTTTCTAGGTTTTAGTATTTTTCTTGGCAGCATTTTTGACTATTGTCAATGGTAAGTAACAATTATTCTTTATTGTTAAGTAACTATTTTATAGGAATCTGTATTACCGACATTGAAGAAATCTGTTTGGCTATTTTTTTCTCACTAATGGCCGTTTCCACCAACTATTTTAGGGAAGCCTTAACGATAAGTATTCACTAAACTGACAGTTTTCCATGGAGAAATGTCAGTTTAGGAAATACTTATCGTTAGGGCTCCCTTAAAATAGTTGGTGGAAACGGCCATTATTGCCTGGCAAGAACAAAGCGAGACAAAATTTTAAAAAAATCTTTTTTTTTAGCTTCATATTTGCACGGACCGGGACACGCCGTGGCTTACGTGGCAACCTCGCAAGGGCACGGAGGTAACAATTAATCGAGGAAAAAATAATATTTAACTGAAATTGCATTATTTTAGGTTACGGCCTTCATGGAGGTTATAATGGAGGAAATGCCGGTTATGGAGGTAAAATTTAACTCAAATTTTACATTGTTTATCTGTCAAATGTCAATTTTTTTTTTGCAGGTTATAATGGAGTGAGAGGAGGTTTGGCTGGTATTTCTGGAGGTTATGGAGGTAATAACTTTGAATTTTTTTTTTAATTTTAATTATTTTTTTCTTCGTTCCATTCGTAGGTCATGGATACTATGGATAAATCAGGAGCGTCTAGAACTGATGGAAATAACAAAAAAAATCCAACTTATTTCCATCTTGATTAATTTTTTTTTTTGGTAATTACATTGGAAATAAAATTTATTATGCCTTTCTTGTGAAATTAAATCTGTTTTATTTATGCAAACTTTATAGGAAACTGCAATTTTGTTGCTAATGGTTACAAAATTGTTAGACATGTTGACTGACAATTGACATTTAAAGCATTGTTCATTTCGATTTGTCAATTGTCAAAGTGAAAAAAATACAATTAAATCGCTATACAGGGTGTCTAAAATACCATGAACCATTATTGGTTTGTTTATCAGAAATGGTAGGAGATACGAAGGCGATTAAATTATACAAAAGTTGCCATTTTCAAAAGTTGTCAAAAATATAATTTCGTTGTTGCCAAATTTCTATTAATGTGACAGGGTGATTTGTAAAAATACCCAAAACTGTCTTTTTACAAATTACCTTGTAGGTATCTTGGAAATTTATAAAAATTTGGCAACAATGAAAATATATTTTTAATAAACTTCGAAAATACCAACTTTTTTTTAAAATTTAACCGCCCTTGTATCTCTTACCGTTTCCGGTGGCCTTAGTATTTTTGACACCCTGTATTTCAAAGAGAATTAACCTCAACTTGAGCCTAATTACAATAAAATCGAATTGAAATTAATAAAGTTGTGGGGCAAAATATGCGTCGATTATTTATAAAAAAAAAATCAAATTTCTAAAATTGACAAATGATTTTTTGATTTTTGAATCTTTGCAGCTGCAAAAATATTTAAATGGCTTCAATTTAAGCCTAATCACATTAAAATCGGATCGAAATTGACGAAGCTATGGGGCAAAATATGTCTTCATATATTTTTAGGAAAAAATCAAATTTCTAAAAATTAAAATGATTTTTTGACTTTGAATTTTTGAAACCACCACAAAACCATTGAAATTTCTAACTAAAAATTCGTAGAAGATTTAATTGGCTTTAAATTGAGCCTAATTTCGTTGAAATCGGATTGAAATTAACGAAATTGTGGAACAAAATATGTATCGATGTATTTTTGAATTAAAAATCAATTTTTCAAAAATTACAATGATTTTTTGACTTTGAATCTTTGCAGCCATAAAATTATCGAAACTTCAAATTAGAAATTTGTAGAGGATGTAATTGACTTCAAATATTGAGTCTAATTACGTTAAAATTGGATTGAAATTAACCAAATTCTGGGGCAAAATATGTGTCGATGTATTTTTGGAAACAAAAATAACTAATTTTTTGATTATGAATCTTTGTAGCTGGGCACTAGCTGATGTCACACACATAACCTCACTTCCGTTGGCGGGACAAACGAAGCATTTGAAAGGTCTATTTAACACACAGGCGCTAGCTTGTCACCAATGACATAACGTCACTTTCGATAGGGGGACAAACATGTCATTGAGGTTATGTGCGTGACGTCAGCTAGCACCTAGATGCGAGATTATTGAAATTTCAAACTAGAAATTTGTAGAGAAATAAATTGACTTCAATTTGGTTTGAATTACATTGAAATTAACAAAGCTGTGAGGCAAAATAATATATTTTAGGAAAAAAATTAAATTTCCAAAAATTACAATGATTTTTTGACTTTGAATCTCTGCAACTTGCAACTACCATGAAATCATTAAAATTTCAAATTAAAAATTTGTAGAAGATTTAATTGGTTTCAAATTGAGTCTAATTTCGTTGAAATCGGATTGAAATTAACGAAATTGTGGGGCAAAATTATGTATCGATATATAAAAAAAAACAGTTTTCCAATAATTACAATGCTTTTTTAACTTTGAATTTTTGCAACTTCAAAACTGTTGAGACTTTGTAGAAGATTTATATAGCTTCAAATTGAGCCTGGTTTTGTTGAAATCGGATTGAAATTACCGATATTGTGGAACAAAATATGTGTTGATGTATTTTTTGAAAAAAAAAATCAATTTTCCAAATATTACAATAATTTTTTGACTTTGAGTTTTTGCAGCTACAAAATTATGGAAACTTCAAATCAAAAATTTGTAGAGGATTTAATTGGCTTTAAATTAAGTCTAATTATGTTGAAATTGGATTGAAATTAACGAAATTGTGGGGCAAAATATGTGTCGATGTATTTTTGGAATGAAATCAAATTTCTAAGAATATCAATGTTTTTTTGATTATGAATCTTTGTAGGTGCGAGATTATTAAAAAGCTTCAATATAGAAATTTGTAGAGAAATAAATTGGCTTCAATTTGGTTCGAATAACGTTGAAATCGGATTGAAATTAACAGGGCTGTGGGGCAAAATAATATATTTTAGGAAAAAAATTAAATTTACAAAATTGAAAATGATTTTTTGGTGTTTAATCTTTTCAGTTCATACAAGATTTTTTCGATAAAAATTGAAGAAAAAAAACATTATTGCAAAGAAGTCTGAGTAATTTTCAACCAAAAAAATCAAAAGTCTGGAATAAACAAAAATTGGACAAAAAAGGATTTTCTTCTTTTTGAACTTAAAAATTAAAGAAAACGAAGATTTTTCGTTAAAAACTGGGAAGAATTTCCAGGAAAATTGAAGAAACCTGCTGAGGAATATTCAAGCAAAAACATTAGGAGCCTAGGATAAAGAAAAAATTGGACAAAAAAGGATTTTCTTCTTTTCCAAATTAAAAATTAAACAAAACGAAGATAAAAACTGATGTAGAGCATTTTTGAGAAAATTAATGAAAATACAAAATTTTTGTTCTTTTCAAACGCAAAAATCTGATTTCTTCAACAACTGTCAATCAAGATTTTATCCAATCAAAATGTAATTTAATTGCAATTCTATAGGATGTAATATCGAACCTTGAAAATCTTCTTCAATGAAAACTCTTCAACAAACAAGAAAGGTTAACTTTAATTTGACTTCCCATTATTTACAAGTGATAATTGAAAACATCCATTATTTGTTCGAAAACCCAAAAATACAAGGCTTTCCTTAACAAATTTCAAGGAAAAAAATCTACACATAATTTATGAAATCTTTATTATAGGAAATTTCAAAACGAATTTAGAGAGGCTGCAATTTTTGCTTTAATAATAACTTTTAATTTTAATTGTTTATCGATATGGACGATCTTTATTTATACGGGCGCAATCCGTTGCAAAATTACGCAAAATCTAGATTAGAGTAGTTATATGTACTAAATTAGCATTTAATGTAATTAACAAAATAAAGATGGCAAAATTAATTAATTATTTGTTTTGTAGTAATATTGTATATAATTATTTTAAAATAATATTCTTTTAATGCTTTAATAATTAAATTATTAGTTGTTTGTACAAATAATATAATAAAAATTACAATAATTATTATTGAACATTAATTTAGAGATTATAAGTAGATACAGAGATCTGTAAAAATAGCTACATATTTAGAATGTATGATGAATAATCACCATCATAGGCCAAGGACTTATTTTACTTACATTTTAAGTCATAAAAATATTAATCGATTTATTTAATGACTTCGATAATTAGAGGTCGTTTTAATTGAGTTTCCGCGGATTTTTTTGTTTTAATTTCAATTTTACTGGCAAATTTTATGACGGGAAAAGAAAAATCTGCGTTTCTTTAAATTTTCAAGTTCAAAAAAAAAAGAATTTTTTTATTCTAATTTTTTATTTATTCCAGGCTCTTGATTTCATTTTTGGGTTTTCATCGAAAGATGCCGGTGTAAACCCAGTCATTTCTATTGAATTAATACAAAGCCAATCAAGTGAACTGTAGATATTGCATTGGCTAGCTTTTTAAGTGCGTTTACCTCAAAAAGTCAAATAAAATAACATAAAAATGAAAATAAACTTTTACTGATTACAAAAATTTGCTTTTTGGAAAGATTTAAAAAAAAAAGGTTACATTTTCAATTCAGCCAAAAGAAAGTTCAAGCACCAGTTTAAGAATTTTTGATTAATTGAAGATGTTCAAGTTTGGGGCTCAATTACTCAAAAAGTATTAGAGCTATCAAACTCAATTTAGCACGGATGTATAGAGAATTTAATGTTCTTCTTAACTGTGCATATTTTATTTTGATTTGTTCAAAGTTTAAAATGATATTATTGGCAATTTACCTTAACCTTGTCAGGATTCTTAAAAAAATTGAGAATTTTGAATATTTTTCTGGTTGAAATGGTCATTTGAACATATAATAGATTATTTTTTAAATAATTCAGATCCATTCTTTCAATTAAAAATGTAAAAATTTGGAAAATATAAAAAATAAAAGTTTCGATTTTTTTCAAAGAATACCTACCTACTACCTAGGATTCTTATTTCAAAATCTTTAAGCTTCAATATTTTAAAATCCGACAAAGATATTGAATCAAAATACTCAGAAATCGTAACTCTTATTAACCTCTAAAAAACTTTGTCAATTTAGTTTTGACAGTTTCCTTGCCAGAAGCTTCAAAATTTGAAAATTACAATTTAAAGGTAAATAAATTTTCTACAAATCTGTCATTTCAGTTTTGACTATTTCATAGCTCAGAAGCTTCAAAATTGTTGTTCCAGAATTTCAGAATTCAAGTAAGCCAACAGACATTTTCCTAAAAATGATATTGAATCAGTTTTTGCCTCAGATCTTCATTAAGTTTGAGTCGAATTTAATGAATTTTCTTTTTCAAATGAAGCCGATTTGAATTTTCTACAAAGCTGTCAATTTTATTTTGACAGTTTCTTTGCTCAGAAGTTCCAAAATTTGATAATTACAATGAGCAAAATTTTTTTTTCAAAAAAAAAACGACATTTAGTTAGTTTTTGGCTCAGAATTTCTTTATTTCTGAGTCGATTTTAATTAAAAAAAAAATTTCAATTTGAAGTCAATTAAATTCTCTACAAATCTGTCATATCAGTTTTGACAGTTTTACAACTCAGAAGTTCAAAACTGCTGCTCAGAAATTTCAAAATTCAAGTAAACCAACAGGCATTTTTCTAAAAATGACATTGAGTTAGTTTTTGGCTCAGAACTTTGTTAATCCTGAACCGATTTTTATGATTTTTTTTTTAAATGAAGCCAATGGAAATTCTCTACAAAGCTGTCAATTTAGTTTTGACAGTTTCGTTGCTCAAAAACTCCAAAATTACAATAAGCAATTTTTTTTTTCAAAAAAAAAAAACGACATTAAGTTAGTTTTTGGTTCAGAACTTCGTTATTTCTGAGACGAATTTAATGATTCTTTTTTTAAAATGAAGCCAATTAAATTCTCTACAAATCTGTTATTCTAGTTTCGACAATTTCATCACTCAAAAGCTTCAAAATTGCTGCTCATAAATTTTAAAATTCAAGCGAACCAACAGGCATTTTTCAAAAAATGACATTGAGTCGGTTTTAGGCTCAGAACTTTGTTAATTCTGAACCAATTTTGATGATTTTTTTTCTAAATGAAGCCAATTCAAATTCTCAACGAAGCTGTCAATTTAATTTTGACAGTTTCGTTACTCAGAAGCTTCAAAATTTGAAAATTACAATAAACAAAATTTTGTAAAATAAAAAAACGACATTGAATTAGTTTTTAGTTCAGAACCTCGTTATTTCTGAGCCGATTTTGATAAATCTTTTTTCAATTGGAAGCCACTTAAATTCTTCATAAATCTGTCATATCAGTTTTGACAGTTTCTTAACTCAGAAGCTTCAAAATTGCTGCTCAGAGATTTTAAAATTCAAAAGAACCAACAGGCTAAAAATGACATCGACTCAGTTTCTGCCTCAGAACTTTGTTAATTCTGAGCCGGTTTTGATAATTTTTTTTATCAATTTGAAGCCAATTAAATTCGCTACAAACATGTCATTTTGATTTTAACAGACTCAGAAGTTTCAGAATTGCTGTTCAGAAATTGTAAAATTCAAATGAGCCAACAGGCTACAAATGATATTCAATCAGTTTTTGGCTCAGAAATTTGTTAATTCTGAGTCGATTTTGATGATTTTTTTTTAAATGAAGCCAATTTAAATTTTCTACAAAGCTGTCATTTTAGTTATGACAGTTTCATAACTCAGAAAATTGCTGTTCAGGAATTTCAAAATTCAAATGAGCCAATAGGTATTTTTCAAAAACTGACATTGAGTCAGTTTTTGCCTCAGAACTTTGTTAATTCTGAGGCGATTTTGATGATTTTTTTTTTAAATAAAACCAATTTAAATTTTTTATAAAGCTGTTAATTTAGTGTTGACAGTTTTGTTGTTCAGTAGTTTTCAAAATTTGGAAATTACAATGAAAAAAATTTAGTTTTTCAAAAAAAAAGACATTGATTCAGTTTTTGGCTCAGAACTTCGTTAGTTTTGAGCCGATTTTGATGATTTTTTTCTTATATGAAGCCAATTTAAATTCTCCACAAAGCTGTCAATTTAGTCTTGACAGTTTTGTTGCTCAGAAACTTCAAAATTTGAAAATTACAATGAGTAAATTTTTTTTTTCAAAAAAAAACGACATTGAGTCAGTTTTTGGCTTAGAACTTCGTTAATTCTGAGTCGATTTTGATGATTTTTTTTTCAATTTGAAACCAATTGAATTTTCTACAAATCTGCCATATCAGTTTTGTTCATAACTCAGAAACTTCAAAATTCAAAATTTAAATTCTTTACAAAGCTGTCAATTTAGTTTCAACAGTTTCGTTGCTCAGAAGCTTGAAAACTTGGAAATTACAATGAGCAAAAAATATAAGGTCAGTTTTTGAATCAGAACTTCGTTACGTTATTTCTGAGCCGAATTATTTGATTCTTTTTTCAAATTAAAGCCCATTCATTAAATTTTTCACAAATCTGTCGCTTCAGTTTTGACAGCTTCATAACTCAGAAACTTCAAAATTGGTGTTCATAAATTTTAAAATTTAAGTGAACCAACTGGCATTTTTCTAAAAATGACATTAAGTCAGTTTTTGACTCAGAACTTCGTTAATTCTAAGCCGAATTTGATGATTTTTTTTTTTTTTTGAAATGAAGCTAATTTAAATTCTCCACAAGACTGTCAATTTAGTTTTGACAGTTTCATTGCTCAGATGTTTCAAAATCCGGAAATTACAATGAGCAAAATTTTTTTCTTCATATACTTAATAATACCACAAGAGAAAAAATTTTGCTGGCAAAATTTTCGACTGGTATGAAAGTTCGTTGCTTGGCAATTTCGGGAATGACATTTTTGACAAAACCATGAGCCGTCAGGTGACACTTGTCAAACTCACTAGTTTTTTACTCTAACCACACAAAATTTTGTCGCTGAAAAACCATCATGTTGGTTTTGTCCAGGTAGGAACAGGTAGGAGTTTTGTCAGTGGGAAACCAGCCGTTCCTATGACATTTTGCCAATGTAAAACACTCTAGTGAAATAGTAAAAAAAAAACGACATTGAGTCAGTTTTTGGCTCAATTCTGAGCCGATTTAGATAATTTTTTTTTAAATAAAGCCATTTAAATTTTCTACAAATCTGTCATTTCGATTTTGACAGTTTCATAACTCAGAAACTTCAAAATTGCTGTTCCGAAATTGCAAAATTCAAGTGAGCTAACAGGAATTTTTCTAAAAATGACATTAAGTCAGTTTTTGGCTCGGAACTTCGTTAATTCTGAGCCGATTTTGATTTTCAGTCTTAACGATCATAATTTCTTTAAAATCTTCAAATTGTATATAATATTGAAGTTTACAATTATTGATAATCTTCAGAATTTTTTAATATTATTTTTTGATTTTTGAATATGTACATACAGTTGCGATAAAAAAAAAGTAGTACAAAAATTATTAATCCCAATTTGACCTCCCGGTGTAACATACAAAATTTTGACAGGCAATGACATATTCTAGGTTAAAAACGGGTGGAAAAATGTCAAAATAATGTGATCTGAAGCTATATAGGTTAAAAACTTGTCGAAAAATACCAAAAATATTTCTTTTTGGCTATGAATTAAATTAATGTATAATAGACCAGGAGATCTTGGAGATTTTTCTCGTACTAAAGTCTGTTTTTTTTTTTAAAGATAAAAGTCAAAATGACAATATATTGGCAATACCATGTAAAATTGTCAATACTGCAAGTTTTTTTTATCTATTATCTTTAAAAAAAAACAGACTTTACTTTTTTTTGATCGCAACTGTACCTATTCTATAAACTTCAAATAATACAAATAGGGCTTTAAATATATATATATATTTTTTGTGGTTAAAATGTCAAAAATATGTCATTTTTATCGTACAATCTTTTTTATAGAAACATAAAATTACCCAAAAATGTAAAAAAAGCGGTTAAAAGATGGAAATTTTATAAACTATGTGTAATATGAAAATTATCTGATTTTCTATAGAAATGGATAAAACTGTTTTTTACCAGGATCGTTTCGAAGTGAGTATTTTGCCCACAACTGTGTTAATTTCAATCCGATTTCAACGTAATTTAGTTCAAATTGAAACCAATATTTTAGATTCTCGTCGATACTCGTGGCTACCAGCCGTACGAAATCAAGTGCCTCATGACCAATAAAATCGTAGAAGTGATCGCTCAGAAAGAAAATCAACAAGACAATGCTCAGAAATGTAATGCTCTCATGCGACAATTCGTACTGCCTCAGAATTTCGTATCAGAAAACGGACAGTGCTGCTTGTCTCCGGACGGAGTCCTAACCATAACTGCCCCATGGTGTTGTAAATAAATGTTATAATTAAATAAATTGAAATAAAAATAAAATATAAAAATGAATCATCAACTCTTGAAATGAGGCTAATTCCATCCTAAAGAGGATAAATTCTGCAAAATGATGGCAACAATTTATTAATAATTCTTATTGCACAATAATTCTATGAATGTTTTAAACGTGTCTTGAATAAATTCTAGCAATTTATTTATATGCATGGAAATTCTTAAGTCATGCCAATTTTAATAAGTAATTTGTTCAATAAGTATCACTTTCATAGAAAAAATAGTTTTTGTAAAAGAGATGACGCTATTAAATAAGAATCTAATTATTCCTAATTCTCATAGGTAATTATTAACAATTATTTCCTAAGTTTTTTTCAAAGGATGTTGCTTAAATTTCAAAAAAATCGGTAATTAGTTACATGACCTTAAAAATAAAACAGCATGGAGGATTATTTTGTATTTACTTTCATAAAGTAATTGTAATTCATATTTTTATTTAAATTTATAAAAATTACAAATAAGTCTCTTAAGTAACTTAATCACTTATTAATTAATCACATTTTATGGCTCACATATCAACTTAAAAATAATAAATAATAATTAAAAAAAACAGTGGCGCACCCAGGGGGGAGCCATCGGGCCAGGACCCCCCTCAAAATGTAGCAACATCAGGACGTGACACCTTGGCACTTCAAACCTCTGTAGACCCCCCCCCCCCCCAAACATATTTTCTGGGTGCGCTACTGAAAGGAAACCTAATTAAAAACTGCGGGCGTAAGATCCGGCATGGGCGCTGGCACCTGCGAAACTACCTGGAAAATAAAAAAAAATTATCAAATTTGCTTCAATTATTTACAATTTAAATTAAAAATTAAATTAGGAATGATAATTTTAATTGATTTGATTAAATCTATATATATATACAGGGTGTATATTTTAAGTGATACCACTATTGCTATATCCGAAACTGTGAAAGCTACAAGGTCGGTTAAATTAGAGAAAAGTTGCCTTTTTTGATGTCCATTCAAGACTCGTTTACAGTGTTGCCAAATTCCTGTTAGTTTATGAAATACAGGGTGATTTCTAAGAAATGCCTAAAAATATTTCATCAATTATTTCGAGAACTATTAATTTTCGGAACATAATTCAAATTTGAAAGTTTTATAATTTTTTTCGCTCTACAACATGGCATCTTCAAATTTTGAATCCGACGTTTCGTGATTGAGCTACCATCATCAACTTCATATTTTTAAATACGGACCTGAATTTTTTATGTCATTTTCAGAAAGCACCCTTTATCTCGTTTTCAACGATATACCTTTTGAGCATGATTGGGCATTATTTCCGATCTAAAAAGTGATTATCAGTGATTTTTACCAAAATTTTACCTTAATTCGGCCCTAGTTATGAACCTGTATTCCAGAAACTAAAAGGAATTTGGCAACATTGTAAAAGAATCTTAAATGGGCATCAAAACTTTTTTCCAATTTAACCGACCTTGTAGCTTTTACCGTTTCGGATATAGCAATAGTGGTATCACTTAAAATATACACACTGTATAAACGTGAAATTCCCTCACTCGCTGACTGACTGACTGATTAAACACGAAATCTCGAAAACTACTAAACCAATCGAGATGAAATTTTGCAAACAGGTAGGTAATAGGTTGGAGATGCTCACTAAGAAATAATATCAACATGGCCTTAAGCAATCGCTTTAAATAACCAAAAATAAGAAACGGTGTGGTGCGGGCAATGAACTATAGCTAAAAACTGGAATGCGCAGACATTGCCATATCTGCCAAAAAAAATGAAGCCATGAAAGACAGATGCCACAAGAGGGAATGTTGTTTTTCTCTGTTGCTCGCTGACATATGACGTTTTCGAAAGTTTTGTCATATTTCCCTTCACAGGTTTCATCAATTGGAATACGTGTTGGAAGCAATTTTCGCCATTTAACATAATGAGTGCGACAAAAACAGGTATCCCCTCCGCAGCAGCCACACTAGGCCTCACGTTCGCCATATGTGTTCGCATTCCAGCTTTTGGTTATAGTTCATTGGGTGCGGGAGTGCGGGGAAAAAAGTGTAAACAGAAACAGACCACGTGTCAGCTGTCAAATTCAGAAATATGACAAGCAGAATCAAATTCATAGCGATTTCCATTTGCAGAATCAGTGCAAAAAAAAATTGTTTTTGTCGTTATATTTTCATGCTTTCACCAGAAACGATTCGGAACCGATTCTGAACAAATTCCACCGGTCCCAGGCTAAGCTAACTTCAAGTTTGAGACATGACATTCGCAATTCGTTCACGTATTCGACAGTCTTGAGCAAGGTTCTGGAATTTTTGTTCGGTTCCAAAACTGTTCGCGATAAAATAGGAACCTGAACTCATTCACAAGTTGGGTTCGGGTTGCTCATTTCGAGTTACTCCGATCGCACTCCAGCCGTTATCTGATAAGCTAAAAGGTAATACGCGAACGGCTGAAGTGCGAACGGAATCACTCGGAGTGCACGGAGTGAGCAAGCCGAACCCAGCTATACACTGAGAACATTTTTTCATTGTCATAGCTAATTTTTCTGCTGCCGTAAACAAAAATTTTGGCTACATAGGGGACAGCCAAGATCTTTACTACCGCCGAAAAGATATAACTTTACTGGCACCGTTTATTTGCGGTAGCAAAGTGACTTTATAAAGAATTTACTCACAGTTTCTACAAAGTCACTTTGCTGGCATAGAAAAGCTACTTTGCTGTCGTAGGAAAGTAACTATGCTGTCCTAGAAAAGAGGTTATATACCCTCAAAAACATCCTTTTTTGCTATTGAAAAGTAGATTGCTAAGACAGAAAAGATATTTGTTGTTGTTATTAGAAATACTTCTTGAAATAGGAAAGCGTTTGTCACAGAACAAAAAATTTCTTGCCACAATCAGCCAAGTGTTTTATTAGCCATGGGAAGTTATTTGTCTCACCAATAGCAAAAATATTTTGCTGGAAATCTTTGGAAATATGTAGTAGCGCGTCCATCATAACAAAACCAGGAGATAAACAAACTCTATTTAAACCCCTAAACTTTCATTACCTGATCTGAAATAATGTCAATTAATGAAAAGTTTGACGCTAGAGTTGTTTCTGCTAGTTTTGATGGATGCGCTGGCACCATTTCCAAAAAGATTCCCAGCGACCGACACTCGACTTGACTCGACAGCATCCACGATCCACACCGTACGGCGTTAGCTACTAAACTAAAATGGAAGAAAATGAACACGAAACATATTTTATCGGTTATTTTTGGACCCGAAGAAATCACGGAAATGTCCGAACGGTATTTTTAGTCAAGTTATTTGGCTAGGGTAACAAAAAACATTACTGTAACAATAACAAAAATTACAGGATTTTTTTTTTGCTACAACACTAAAGTATCTATCTATCTTAGAAAAGTTCTATTTCGGAGAAGCAGAAATATTTTCATAAAATTTTAATTTTGCTATAACAGCAAAGTTTGGTTTTGGAATAAGAAATATCTTTGCAGTTTGTTACGATAAATTTATCATTTACGTAACATGTTCCATCTTTTCTTATTTCCATTATAAAGTGTATTTTTTTTTTTATTTCAGAATTCAAAATAATTTCCAATATTCTAAAAATATCGATTAAATTCAAATTTAAATTCAAGTCTAGCTACTACTGCTATGTGTTTGCTTGATATATCACCAGCGAATGAAAACACTGTTTTACTAATAACTCGGTTTAATTCTGGGCACTGAACATACAAATAAATCGAAATACTTTATTTTGTTAACAATAACAACACGATATCATAATTGCGCGGCAACAAGCTGACTAGAAGTAAACAACAACCTGGGACAGCTGTCTTCTGTCACGTCACGTCAGGCCGCCAGGGTTGTACACAATAGTTGAGCCATCCAGGGCCGAGATTCTAAAATCACGATTCGACACACGACTCGACAACGATACCGGCCTTGTCGTGTCGAAAGGTATAATTCCAATGAGATTTCTAACCTAGAATCGTCGGAAAAATCGTCTCGTTGTCGAATCGTATATCGAATCGTGATTTTAGAATCCCCGACCAGGGTTGAACACAACGGACTCGCGGAACAATGACGCCACACAAGTAATACAAGTGCTGCCATCTATCCACATTTGCGTAAAATTCTCGGTAAAATGTAAGTATCGAGAATTGATTTTTTAGTGCTGCCATCTAGTGCCCGATGATCTATATTTCATTGATGATTTTTAAAATTCGCATTTGCCAGTTATTTGTATTTTAATTGAAAGACATTATATTCATTTCACTTTTAGCAAATGGATATATTTCTGTCCTTTTTTAACTTTTGATTTTTAAATATTCATTTTTGGCTTATGATCCAATTAATTAACAGTCTTTTATCTTTGACATAACCTTAATTTAAATTATTATAATTTGTAAACAATTAAAATAGTTTCAGTGGATTTTTGGTTATTTTCGTTTATTCCATGCGGTTTTCATTGTGTTTTCATTTTGAAGTGAATATGATCTTTTCGAGTGTACTCGTTTGATTGGTTCAAACTGGCTGGAATGCAGTAAGTATAAAAAACACAGAATCGTTTTCCTGCTAGCTTGGTTCTCTAAAACGTTCTCTTCTTGAAGAACAGTCTGGCCAGGCAAGTTTTCTTTTTTATTAAATAATTTTTGTGCTCTGAATTTCTGGATACTCCCCTATAGATTTTCAATATTCAAGTTATCCTATCTTTATTAAGTTTTTACTGATAAATCTTATCTTATCTGTTCCTGAAATATAAATATTATACCGGGTGACAACGAAATCGTTATACAAGGCGTCATTGAGTTGTCTTCAATTTTAAATATTTGAAAATCGGGTGGAACGTGTAAGTCATTGAGACGCACACTTTTCATAAAACAACAATTGAATATCACTTCCAGTTCCTTTGGAAATGGACCCAAGTCAAGAATTTTTTATGAAACCCTGTATATTTTTTTACACAGTTGGATAGAGCTTAAAATTCCTTTTTCAATGATATATGATAAGTGGAATTTGCTTTTAAGATGGCGGCGTGAGAAGGCACTTTCTTAAATTCAATATGGCGGCATTCTGATCTAACCTTTGCATACCTTAACCGAAAAATGAATATGCATTTTGGTAGACATTTTTCGGTAGGCCATTGGACACACTTTAATTCTAGAATTTAATAAGTACCTCTTCCTATTCAAAATTTTTAGAAAATTTGAAACTAAAATTTGCATTTCAAAGATATTTTCAAATGCCCTTGTTTTTGAGCAAAATCTTTTTTTTTTTCAAATTCGATGTAAAACCATTTCAAATCTAAAAATTATGGATTGGGAAAAGTGTTTGTTTGACAGAAACATTATCGGTTACGTCAGAATGCCGCCATATTGAATTTAAGAAAAATACCTTCTTACGCCGCCATCTTGGAAACAAATCCAAGTTGTGATATGTCATTGGAAAGGGAATTTTAAGCTCTATTCAACTGTGCAAAAAAATATACAGGGTTTCATAAAAATTTCTTGACTTGGGTCCATTTCCGGAGTAACCGGAGGTGATATTCAATTGTTTTTTTACGGAAAATGTGCGTCTCAATGACTTACCCGTTCCACCCAATTTTCAAATTTTTAACTTTAAAGACAACTGAATGACGCCTTGTATAACGATTTCGTTGTCACTATTTTAGGGTTTTTTTTAATCTAATTGATGGCTTCCATTTTGTGTGAATTACTTTACTTATTGAAGTGCCACACGTTGTTATAATTGGTAAGTCGAGACAGTTTTTT